GTGGTTGTCATCTGAAGAATTTTGATGCCATACATGGCATCCATATGAAATTCTCGATCTGACGAGACTATTTAAAAACATGACTAGTGTTCTTAGGTAAATATATCGATATGAACATGCATAGAATTATCTACGATTAGATAGATAGATAGATAGATAGATAGATAGATAGATAGATAGATAGATAGATAGATTCGGATTTCGGATATGATGCGACTGCAATGTATTTAGAGATTCTTGGTAAAATTCAAAGAAGGATCTGCAATGTTATTGATCCTGATCTGGCATCTCTGATTCAGTCTCTTCCCCACCGCCGTAACGTAACTTCACTGTGTTTTCTATAAAATAATTAATGGTAATTGTTCTGATGAATTTTCCTTCATGGTACCTAGACTTTATGAATTTAAACCCAGTACTAGATTGACGGCAAGGTCTCATCATTTTACAGTTAAAATGGCTAGAATTAACCGCAAGTTCTATGTTAACAGTTTCTTCTAGGACACTTCTCGCTTGTTGATCTCCCTTCCAGCTTTTTGCTTCCCAATTAACTTTGACCTTCAAAAATGTAAATGCAATATCAATCGCTATTTTCTGTCTTCTTAATCCCCGTTCTTTTATTACCCTATTTCTTTAATAGTAGTTTTTCTCATATTCTTTCATACTCAGTAACCCCCTCGCGTCCTAGTGGCTTTATTGCCTTGCTTGTGGTGTAATGATTTTCCTTATGTCCAAAACCCAAAATTTTTTAAAGAGGAATCCATCACTTCCTTCGTATCCATCTATGCGTAAAATAAACTGGGCCCATTAGAATTAATTAGCAAACCAGTTGAGAAGGAACACTCTGAATTCAAATCATTTCCCAACCAGGAAGCTTTGATTTCAAGAGAAACTCTGCCCTTATAAGAATGTCAATGCAAATCCACATTCAGTAAAATAAATTTAAGAAAAGATCAAATCATTTTGGTTGGGGAATTTTATTTCACTGTCCACTTTTCATCTTAAGAGTCTATATAAGCAGATCACCAAATCATCTTTAAAAGAAGACAAGAACTTCAGTCAATATTATCAAAATTCATCTCATACAGAAGCCACAGAATTCAAGAAACATAAAGAATTACTTTATTACTGGGCTTTTATCATGGCTATTAATAACGATTCTTTTCTTAGATACATTTGTTTGACATTTTTATTTTGACAAAAATATGATTTTTTTTTTATTTTCCAAACAACGAAATTGTTAGATTGAGAAGCCATATATATTCCAGCATCCTAATTTGATTGATTTCTAACGCCTTCAAATTCTCAAATATTCAAATCACTTGAGCAAATTTTCCGAGGCAAATGTTTTAAAAGTTGTAAAGGAATCCATTCGGCATTAGCTTATTTATTCATGCAGAACGCAGATTCTTTTGAACAGGAAACTATACACACACACACATATATATATATATATATATATATATATATATATATATATATATATATATATATATATATATGTGTGTGTGTGTGTGTGTGTGTGAAGAGAGAGAGAGATTGAAAATATTAGTGGTCATATATATATATATATATATATATATATATATATATATATATATATATATATATATACATAAATTGCCAAGAGGATAGAATACAGAATATAATATAAAGGTCCAAACACTAATATTCCATGGTTATAATTTATTACGTAATCACGATCCAATTCATCAGACCTACAAATTGCAAAAAGCTGGAATATTAGTGTTTGAGCCTTATATATATATATATATATATATATATATATATATATATATATATATATATATGAATCATTCATTCATACAAAAAACAAATATAAAAGGTTAATGATTTAAATGACGAGAATACATCTTCGCAAAAAATATAAATAAGATACATCAACCCCGAACCTGTATATGAATGATATGATCCTTGTTCATAAATTCCAGTTGCATAAGGTCTTTTAATTTTTACAAGCTTTCGTCTGTTCCTGAACAGACATCCTCAGCTATGGAAATAGATTTTGTTCTTGTTTTACTTCTTTTTTTATAATTTGCACCTTTAATTGAAATATATATATATATATATATATATATATATATATATATATATATATATATATACTATTTCGGCTAGCATTTCTACAAGGACCAACGTTAGCAAAATTATTGTATCAAAATTGGTATGAATAGATGCTTAATATGGAGGAAGATTTGGAGTACGTAAAACATGTAAATTAATGATTAAAGTATGGGTAAATTCAAAAGTTGTAACTAGTCCAGCGTGAGTGTAAAATATGAAAGAATTTAATCCTCATAATCCTCCAGATAAACAAAGTGAGCGAGGAAAATTCTTCTTCTGCTTACATAATGAAGGTTGCTCTAATTTTATACATACAGCTTCTAACACTTGCAAATGGTGTTTGGAGCATGCCTTATTCAAAATAGAGAATGAGTTGATAGAAAATTTGCAAGAACATAGCTCATTCTTCAAAAGGTGTTGTCCAGTCGATGCGCAGAATGTGGAACATAGTGAGATAATGTTGACTAAATTTAACAAATGCAGGTACATGTTGAGCCAACTGAGTTTGCAACCTTAGACACGTTCGTCCTATATATTCAGCTTGACACTGACATTTGAATTTATAAATTACAGAACTTTTATTCAGACAGGACAAACAGTCCTTTACAAAGGAAAGAAAAACAGGGCAAGTCCCGAAAACAACACGTAACTTAGCAGAAGAAATAGTGTTAGAAATTCTATTAATCACATTCTGATATTTGCCACCAATCCATGGCAATTACAGGTAAATTGTACATATATTGGGACCAAACAGAAGAGATATATTGAAGCATTCGATCTTACGTCCCATCACTCGTTTAACGACATTAGTCGGATAGCCATAATTACATATAATGTAGTGAATCGTATCCAACACTTGCTGGAGAGTGCATAAAGATATATATATATATATATATATATATATATATATATATATATTAACTGATTTAAAATATGTTTTTTTTCGCTACACAGTTCTAACCATGTTTCAAAAATGGAAGCTAAAATCTCCGAATTTAATTTTGTAATTAAATTAAAGACATTAGTTCCATTTCATCCTTAAGCGAATTTTGGAGTAACTTTTAAAATTACTGGGTTTTAAAGACACAGCAAAAATCTTAATTCACGTTTCCAAGGTTACAGATAAATCCACTTCCACTAGACAAGGGGTGTCTGCGTGTTCATTATCGCTGTATTTTGATGTATCAGTTATTAGTTACGTTTTGGTAGGGGTAGGGATGTATTTTTCAATGAAATCTGACATCCGTTAAATGCATGTCGTCTGGATTTTTTTTAAATTTTATTGTTAACGGCAAAAATTCTTACGGCATTTTTTTCTATTTGTATATTTAAAGATTTTTGTGGGGGTGTTTAGGTTAGAATACGTTTTATTTAACTACGATTTGAAATATTTTCACTTTTAATTTTTAATTTTTAATATACTATATTTCTTTTAAGAACAATTAAATGTATTAGAATCCCTTACAGTATGTAGAATTATTTTCACATCAAGTGTAAGTAGTTATATTATTAGGTAACAATTTTTTTTTATATTTAAATATTATTTAAGTAAAATTTATGACAATGTCGGCAAAAATAGCTACTTAATTTCACTACTTTTATTTTTTATAAAAACCTAATAATATATTGTTTCTCATGTAAGTACAAAGGACATGGGTCATTCAAAAGCTTACATCTTCTAGCATTTCATATTAATTTCATTTTATTGTAGGTGTTTTATTGGATTCTTTTAAGTGCTTGTAGTACTAAGAGGGAGGTCTTTATGTTAGAACATCGGATTATATATCTTACTGTTCTTTCTTTTAATTCATATATATATATATATATATATATAGTTTTAAGGTGTGCTATATTTATGGAATAAAGTGCTCAATAACAGAGATAGAGCGTATGTAAATATAAATATGAAAGTGAACATTGAAGTCAACACTCAGAGGCGACAGTATGTTTCATGCTAGACGCAATCGTCAGGCATATATATATATATATATATAACCAGGCGAGAAATAAAACTTCAATTCATCGCCCAATCCAGGAAAAGAATTGTTGGTCATGGCACTAGCAATTCTGACCAATAAAAGAAACCTGCATCAAACTGAGACTGCATCAATCTCACTTACAAGTATGGTGTCGTTGCCAAAGCTATGCTAGGGTGTATATAAGAAATAAACTCAATGAAAATGAACATATTCTTAGATAAATGTTTTTTTTTATATATTTAAATGTTGTTGTGTTTATTTTTATTTCCACGCAAACAAATTGCTAAAGTGAGAGACGCTACCTCAGCATCCTAAAGAGCTTGATTTAACGCCTTCAAATATTCAGATTACCCGAACACATTCTCTGTGGAAAATGTTTTAAAAGTTGTAAAGGAATTTGATTTAATTATGAACATTTTTTTTCTTTACTTTCAGGATCACAGTAACTTCCAACAAGGAATAAAAATTAAAAAAAAAATGGTTCCGTAGCGGTCTTTTACGAGTGTCAATAATGATGATCATGTTCTTGACAATATTTGAATGGCTTTTTTATATTTTCCAAACAACCAAACTGTTAGCTTGACAGGTTCTAAATGAATGTCACTATTCATTGAATTTTAAAATTTCAAAGTACCGTACATTCATAAGTGGCAAAAAAGAGAAGAAATTAATTCAGCAGAGTTCTCCTTGCACTAATTCTTTCAACAAGGTATAAAAGAATTGGTTTTACAGAACATATTGCAAGCTCCCTTTAAAATAAATAAATTCGTAAAGTGTGCATATCTTTTAATAGAGTGATGAGATTCTCCGTTCTCTGTATTTACCACAATCAACTTCTGATTATTCTTCAAGCCACCGGAATAATTTCTTAGTGACCAAAGAATTATCTCAGAATTATCAGTTTTTCTAAACTTTCAGATTCATTCCGCAAGAAATGAGATGGGGTATTCTCATTTTTTTTTCAGAGGTTCAGAAGAACTCAAACAGACGCTAATGTACTTGCCGGCACCCTTCATTCCGGGAAAACCGAGCTCCACATACGATACCAATCTCTTTCAGCAAGGAATAAAAGAATTAGTTCCATATTGGGTTTTGTCCATCTATATAATACTAAGAGGAGGAGTAATAGATAGTGGCTCGAATTGAGGAATCGAAGAGCCGAGATCGAATTCCAGTCGAATTCATTACATTCACTTACGTGCTAATACCCTTGGGAAAGGTATGATTCCTCTTCTTCTCCCCCCAGCTATGGGTACATAGCAGGACAGGCTGGGTTCTATAGCTTTGGGTGGGAACCGGTGTAAGAGAAGGAAAAACTCTGAATTCAAAACAGGTCTGGAGAGGGCTGGATTCCGCCAGGCTATATTGTACAAGAAACACGACTTCTACTACGGCTGCAGTGCACATGGGTCACGGGATAAAAAATAATACTGAAGAAGGGCACATAAAGATTTAACTTTCTTTTCACCTCTCTCTCTCTCTCTCTCTCTCTCTCTCTCTCTATCTCTCTCTTTCTACCTCTCTCTCTCTTTCTACCTCTCTTTCCGCCTATCTCTTTCCGCCTCTCTCTTTCCACCGCGCTCTCCCTTTCCGCCTCTCTCTTCCTGTCGCGCTCTCCCTTTCCGCCTCTCTCTTCCCGTCGAGCTCTCCCTTTCTGACTCTCTCTTTCCACCGAGCTCTCCCTTTCCGCTTCTCTATTTCAACCGAGCTCTCTCCCTTTCCGTCTCCCACTTTCCACCGCGCTCTCCTTTCCGCCTCTTTCATTCCACCTCTCTCTTTCCCTTTCCGCTTCTCTATTTCCACCTCTCTCTCTCCCTTTCTGCCTCTCTCTTTCCACCGCGCTCTCCCTTTCCGACTCTCTCTTTCCACCGAGCTCTCCCTTTCCACCTCTCTCTTTCCAGTTCTCTCTCTCTCCCTTTCTGCCCCTCTCTTTCCACCTCTCTCTCTTTCCGCCTCTCTCTTTTCACCGCACTCTCTCTCTTTCCGCCTCTCTCTTTCTACCTCTCTCTCTTTCTGCCTCTCTCTCTTTTCAACGCTCTCTCTCTCTCTTTCCCTCTCTCTTTTCCACCGCTCTCTCCCTTTCATCCTTTCACCCTCTCTCTTTCCTCTCTCTTTTCCGCCTCTCTTTTCAACGCTATCTCTCTCTCTCTCTCTTTTCCGCCCTCTCTTTCAACTCTCTCTTTCTGCCTCTCTCTTTTCACCGCACTCTCTTTCTTTCCGCCTCTCTCTTTCTACCTGTCTCTCTCTTTCTGCCTCTCTCTTTTCAACGCTCTCTCTCTCTTTCCGCCTATCTCTTTCCACCGCGCTCTCTCCCTTTCCCCCTCTCTCTTTCCACCTCTCTCTCTTTCCGCCTCTCTCTTTTCACCGCACTCTCTCTTTCCGCCTCTCTCTTTCCACCTCTATCTCTCTTTTTGCCTCTCTCTTTTCAACGCTCCCTCTCTCTCTCTCTTTCCGCCTCTCTCTTTCAACCTCTCTGTGATTGAGTGCGTGCTTATTTATATTTTAGTTTTCTTTAAACAAACAATATTTAAAAAAATATTTTCAAGTGAATATGATTTAAACATATTTTTTGGCATATTAAAAAAATATTTTCAAGTGAATCACGGACCTAGCAGTCCCAGCCGTTCGCGTTCCGAGGTTGTAGCGCATCTGAGAGAGTGCGTGGGAGGTCACCGAGCAGGGGTGAGGTATCACGGTGAAATTAGTCCGTTGGGTCTTCTTCCTTCTCACAATCACACTTGAAATCACAATTACTATGTCACAAAATTCACGAACTAACGCCTTAATATGATGGGCTATTTTCCTCGGTGTTGGAATTTTTGGGTACCCTGGTGTACTAGTGAGCCAGCCAAAATGAGCTGACTCATTTTATAGTTCACCAATAGAAGGGTTAACCAATCAGAAGGCTCAAAATATTCATTGCGACAGGTATAAAGGCGGCCATGTTTTTCACGAATATGCACTGCCAGCCTTTGATAACCCGGACGAGGCTCCGCCGAATGGCAGAGTCTCGTTCGGGGATGTTGACTGCCCCTGAACCCGTTTATACGCGTTCAAATAGCGAATTTTTTTGGCCGAGCCTACGGGCTCGGAGATCCCACGTTAATCCTGGCCTTGTGCCACATGTAACCCTCGTGGTGGGGGTCTAAAATGCACTGCCAGCCTTTGATATCGAAGACTGAAGAATTACGGAACACCTGCTGGTGGTATTGGCGATATAGTCAGATTCAGTAGAGGGTCTGACTCGTGAGTGTTAATCTTTAACGTTGTTTCATTGAACAGATTACGTACTGCGCTGTATTCTATATTCATAGACTATGGTTAACATGGTCAACACCCGGGACAGAAGTTTAGTTGATCGACAGACAGTCAGAGATGGCCGGGTGCATTGTAGTTGAAGCATGAATAATATGAAACAAAGATAAGGGACGAATGTAAATAATGTGTGTAATGAAGATTAAAAAATGAATTTGACTTGTGCATCATTTGAACGTTCGTTGATTTCCCCAAAATGGGAGATTATTACTCGACCATGATAATATAGCCGACATTTTAGTTGTCATCATCATCATCATCATCTTCTTGACTTTTGTAATCGTAGGCGGGAGATCCGGATGCGGAAGCCATATTGAAACTACTTCACAACGGTCTATCAACGGCAGCCATCAGCAATTCTTGTACAATCATACCTATCCACTGTTTGACATTGTCCAACCAGTTTTTGCGTTGGGGTCCATTCTTACGCCCACCTTCAATGGTGCCTTGCATGATGGTCTTGCACAGGCTATCGTGCCTTGTAACGTGTACAAACCACGCCATTTTTCTCCGTTTGAAAATGGCGAGAAGAGGTTCCTGGTGTCTCACAAAACTTTCAACCCTTTTCCGCAAAAGCTCATTGTTTTATGTTCGCCATAGAAAATGCCAAGGAGTTTTCTCATGCACTTGTTCTCAAACGCTTGGATCTCTGTATCAGTGTCCAAGTTTCACATCCGTATAAGAGAATGGAGACTGTTAGCGATCTCTAGTCTGTACTTTGTTTGATAGCTGATTTTGCTCCTCCATATTCTTGTCAATTTGGTTATCGCTACCATGGCTGCGGCAGTCCGATTCTGGTTGTACCAATATTTAAATCATGCTTGTTTTGTTCGGTGATATTGATTGATCAATAATATTGATCGTTTTGAATCTTTGACTGAGAAAATGGGATAAAAATTGAAACATTGCCCTAACCTTAATTTCTAAAACGAAAAACGTGTATTAACTTGATTAACACACAGCGTCCTTTACTTCAGTTCGTAGACGCTCATTATCGCTGCCGAGGGCGATGCACGACACACGAGCAATCAGCAGGAGTTCAATGTCTGTCATGTAAAGTAGATAATAGCGCAGTGTATGTAGGACTTGTTCGCCCTTCGGCCATATTCAACAATTTCCGGTAATCTCCGTCGATGATCTATTTAAAGAAAGGTGACCTTGAGATAAATGAAATAAATTTTATTGACTTTTACGGCATTTATTCTTAGCAAAACGATATTGTTTTGGCCGCAGAGAAAGAATAATGAAAAAATCGTTTAATTTGTAACTTCTGAATAATTGTTTTGTTTTTTTTTTTTTTTCATTTAGTTCGACAATTGTGAATGCTCTTTGTTTTTTTCTTCTTAAATTTATTCAATAAGTTTATATTTGGCTACTGCTGAACACCCAGTGAGAATCGAATTCCATACTTAACGGTAGTGATATACCTGATCTCACGAGAAAACGCCTTCTCAAATTCTTCTTCTTCTTCTTCTTCTTCTTCTTTCTTCTTCTTTTCGATATTTCTGAGATGAGGTATTCTAACTATTTACACTATTTACATTGTTCGGACTGTTGTCCTCATCTTTCTTGCCATATTCACGGCGTTTCGACCGTTGTACACTCCCTCCTTCTTCAGGTGATTGGAATTTCGAACTGAACCCTTTATTTTGTCCACCGGGAAAAGACTGTTCTAGTTCCACCTGCCAACCCTGAGGGAACATATCCAACTGGTCAGGGAAGTGACAAACAAAACTGTTGTACTGATCGAAATATTTACTATAGCCCATCTTAATTCACCAAAACAAAGACATGTACTTGTTAACCCTTTTAATCAATGAAGATAAGAAGCCACGAGAGCCAAGCTCTAACATAAAAAATGTATTATTATTATTCTTATTATTAGTTCTTCCGCAGGGTTTTTATTTTTCAACTGGACTTCTTAAATTGTGGGTGTTTTCCGTCAAATTGTGCGACCTCAAAAAGATGGCATCTTTCGCAGAATTATTATTATTGTTGTTGTTGTTGTTGTTGCTAATGTTGTTGTTGTTGTTGTTGATGTTGTTGTTGTTGATGATGTTGTTTGTGTGTTATGTTTCCTGCTTTGTATCCTGTGGAGCCGGGTCCAAACTATGGTCCTTAGGCCCTATAGGAGAACTGTTATTTAACTGATAGAACTTTTCTTAGTATATGGGATGTTCCTAGTAGGGCGATCTTCAGGGCAATTTGTATGTTGATGTTACCTGGGACACTGTTAGTAAAACTGTCCATTCCTTATCTCACGGAGCCCAGAGCTCCGATTACTTTTGGCACAGTCTCAATCTTCATTCCCCACATCCTGTTAATCTCGATCTCCAGGTCCTTGTATTTGGACAATTTCTCGATAATTTTCAGGGAAGTGCTTCTCTCAGAAGGTACTGCTATGTCAATAAGCATACACTTCCTGAATTTCTTGTCTTTTATGATAATATCAGGTCTGTTGGGTTTTATTTCCCTGTCTGCTTGAATTGGCATGTCCCAGAGGATAGTTACATCGTTATTTTGGTTGAATGTGTATCATTATTATTATTATTATTATTATTATTTCCTTGGGTTTATGTTGTATACACATTTTCTTCCGGGTCCCAACTAGAGACCTAAGGTCAGAAATGGCTTCAAGATATCTTCCACTTATCATTTTTCAATGAGACTATCAAAATCTTTTCCAACCAATCCGAGTGCTCCAACTACAACCGGAATTATTGATATCCTCATGTGCCACATTTTTTAGATTTCTATTTCAAGATCCTTGTATTTTGATAGTTTTTTTTTCAAGATCTTCAAAGGTACCTTATATATCATTAATAAAGCATATTCTGTTCTTGTGGTCTTTGAACACGATGACTGTGTGATGAGCTTTGATTGTTATGTCTGTGTGTATTGTAAAGTCCTATGAAATTGTTGCAGGTCCTATATCTGTTGTTGCTGTTGTTGTTGTTTTTATTATCATTATTATTATTATTATTATTATTATTATTATTAACTGCCTCTAGATTTCTTCTTTTCCTTTTTTTCTGCGATTCTCTTCCTTATATTGTTTTTATCATAATTTCTTCTTTTTCTTCTTCTTCTGCTGATGCTGCTCCTCCTCCTCCTTCTTCTTCTTCTGCTGCCTTCCGCTCCTCTTAATCCTCACTCTCCTCCTCACCCTCCCATTATTTCTTCTTTTCTTTTTTCTCGTCCTTCTTCCTCAGTTCGTGTTCTTCTTTGCTTTCTTCTTCTTTCATCACTTTTTTCCAATTTCTTCTTCTTCTTCTTCTTCTTCTTCTTCTTCTTCTTCTTCTTCTTAATCCACCATATTATTTTTAAGAATTCCATTTCTACTTACAAGAAATATAATGTAATTTTTTTCATCCGTTTACTCAAAATATTAATTCAGAATTTTCAAATTCACGTCATATTTAATTTTTATAGAACTACATACCAATGTATTTTTATTCTTTTTTAAAATGTCTAAAAAACATATATCTTCCAGGAAATTGAAATAGTTGCGCATTTCTGTCTAGAATCATTGGTTAGCGTTCGAGCCCTTATAAAATTCAAATTTCAAATTCCGATTTCTAATAAAGATAGAACCTCTCTTTTTAAAAGATGGGTGAAAAGACAATTCCATTATCTTCGAAGACGTTGGTCAAGTTCTGTCCAGAAAACTATCTATAAATTTTGAACGTCTAAATACTGTATCTCCATCTTTTATTCCTTCTCTTCTTCCTTCTGGCTTCGCTTATTTCGTTCCTGTCTTTCTTTTCTTCCCATTCTACTTCTCTCTCCTCTCCTTTTCTCCTTTATTCTTACCCACCCCTTCTTTCTATCTTCATCTTCCTCCTATTTCTTTTTCTTCTCTATTACCTATTCCTCTTTCAGCCACTTTGTCCTCCTCCTCCTCTCCTCTCAGACACCTTCTCTTTCTGTTACTTTTCCTCTTCTTCTTCCTCTGCTTTTCTCCCGCTTGTTCTGCTTCTGCATCTAACTTGTTCATACTTTTAATGCATCAATCTGGTATTTTCAGAAGTAATTCCTTCGAGTGTCCTTCGGGAGATAGTCTGCAAAATAAAAGATTTAGCAAAGCTTATCTAGATGTCATGAGTTCAATCCTAGGGTTGCGTAGTGCTGAAATATACACCGATTCATTGGAGAGACATATTAGAATCGTAAGGAAATCTTCTGACCTTTGCGAAGAAGGAGATCAGACATGATAGTTAAAAGAGTGGGAATAGAACACGACCAGTGCATTCGATAGCAGTTTCCACTTTAACAAAGCCTCAGGTTACGATGGGCAATATATATATATATATATATATATATATATATATATATATATAGGTCATTAAATGACCCATGTCCTTTGTGCATACATGAGAAACTATATATTACTAAATTTATAAAAAATAAAAATTTACCGAATCAGAGAAATGAAATAGCTATTTTATGCCGTCATTGTCAAAAATTTTCCTTAAATAATATTTAAAAATAAAAATAAATATTAAAAAGTGCGACCCGGTAATATACATACTTATATTTAACGTGAAAAGATAATTTTATATACTGTAAGTAATTCTATTACATTTACTTGTTTATAAAAAAAAAGAAAAAAAGTTTATTAAAATAACAGTGAGAATATTTTAAAGTTGTATTTAAAATTGTAGTTAAAACGAATTCTAACCTAAACCTCTTTTAAAATTGTAGTTAAATAAAACGTATTCTAACCTAAACACCTCTCTCAAAGTACTACCGGCACTTAAATGAATCCAATAAAACACCTACAGAAAAATGAAATTATGATGAAAAGCTAGAAGATGTAGGTCATTGAATGACCCATGTCCTTTGTACATACATAAGAAACTATATATTACTAAGTTTATAAAAAATAAAGTTTACTAAATCTGAGAAATGAATTAGCTATTTTTGCTGTAATTGTCATAAATTTTATATTTAAATAATATTTAAATATAAAAAAGAAAAAAATCGTAATATACATACTTATACTTGATTTGGAAAAATAATTTTACTTACTGTAAGTAATTCTAATACATTTACTTCTTTTAAAAAGAAATATAGTCTATTAAAACTAACAGTGAAAATATTTAAAATTGTAGTTAAATAAAACGAATTCTAACCTAAACATCTTTTAAAATTGTAAATAAAAAAAACGTATTCTAACCTAAAGACCTCCCTCAAAGTACTACAAGCACTTAAAAGAATCCAATAAAAAACCTATAGTAAAATGAAATCAATATGAAAAGCTAGATTATGTAAGTCATTGAATGACCCATGTCTTTTGTACTTACATGAGAAACAATATATCACTAGCTTATATAAAAAATAAAAGTTTACTAAATCAGTGAAATTAAGTAGCTATTTTTGCCGTCATTGTCATAAATTTTACCTAAATAATATTTAAATATAATTTTTAAAAAAAAAGTTACCTAATAATATACATACTTATACTTGATGCGAAAATAATTCTACATACTATAAGGGATTCTAATACATTTACTTGTTCTTAAAAGAAATATAGTATATTAAAAATTAAAAGTGAAAATATTTTTCAAATCGTAGTTAAATAAAGCGTATTCTAACCTGAACATATACAAAAATCTTTAAATATACAAATAGAGAAAAAAAAATGCCGTAAAATTTTTGCCGTTAACAATAAAATTTTTTAAAAATCCAGACGACATGCATTTAACGGATGTCAGATTTCATTGAAAAATACATCCCCCCCTAAAAACATAACTAATAACTGATACATCAAAATGGGCGATAATCAACACCCAAACACCCCTTTTCTGGTTGAATGGATTTCTCTACAACCTTGGAAACGTGAATTATGATTTTTGCTGTGTCTTTAAAACCCAGTAATTTTAAAAGTTACTCCAAAAATTCATTTTGAGGATGAAATGGAACTGACGTCTTTTATAGTAAAAACATTAAAATTTCCCTTCAGTTCCCTGCTGTACGACGATAGCTTGGGGCTAGATTAGTCGGGTTTCGATCCTGGCTTGAAGCAATCGGATGTCTAGCCACTCTGATGAGCTGTGATACAGCGAAACAGTCTGCTGTGAATGACTATAGGCATCTTGCATTAAAAACGATCGAAAGGAAGATTTAATTAATCTTTTATTGAGTTTTTTCAGCAACCTAAATTTTTTTCAGGTTTTCAGCGGTTAAAAGATTGCACATAGTTATAATTTTTCCGGTCGATTTCGGCTACTTCTCTAGCCATTATCAAGGATGTGTTTTTGGATGGTGAAATTCTACGTGTGACTGCTCCATAGTAATTTTACAGTGCGGAGTTCGACGAGCAATTTGCGTGTTTCTTGGCAGTGACGTGCTATGCGCTGCCAGTAGACCGGGGCAAGACTTCAATTTTTAGAACACTTTTAACAAGCCGTCTTCTCAGCTAAATAGTGGGATATTGATAGTGGGCGAAAAAAGTTAATAAGCAGAGCCCCACTAATGACGAGCGGTGTACGACTATGTAACCTGAAAGGCGCAAAGACAATTCCTATATTCTTTAACCCCACTTAAAAGTGAAAAAATGTTAGATTGCTGGAAAAGCGCAATAAAAGATTATTTAAATCTTCCTTGTTAGCCGTTTTCAGTGAAACATGCATGAAGGAAAGGTTGCTTCCCAAATATACGTCAAGATATATATATATATATATATATATATATATATATATATATATATATATATGTATTGCTGTCAATATACCTCATAACACATTCGAACGCTTAGCCTTGGAGCGGGTAGAACGGAGATCAACGTGTTTTAGTGGACTCAGCAGTTTTAAATCTGCTTGTCTGAATCGTGTTCAAGAATCGAGAGCGAGATCTAACAGGTCAGCCAATCTAACAGTCATCTCATCCAAAAATCCTCAATCTTGCTCCATATACGGCCTCCTTTGTAAATCAATAGCGGATCTTAAGTGCCACTTAAGATTATCGTACAAAAATAACTGAATCAATTGGTTAAGTTGTCAGATCCTCATACGTAGAAACCGACGGTAGAGTCCATTATATATATATATATATATATATATATATATATATATATATATATATATAAATTATTATTTATTTTGAGGATATTAAAACAAAAACCTATTTTAAAATCGCTACGTGTGTGTGTGTTTTTAATATCCTAAAATAAATAATATTTTGGTCTACTCTGTATTGAGCCCTCTTTTTATATTAAATGTCACGTACTGTGGAATTATACTCCATTTGTTGTCATTTTACCTGGATATATATATATATATATATATATATATATATATATATATATATATATATATATATCCCTATTTCCAGTCGAATCCATTACATTCACTAATACCCTTGGGAAAGGCATGAATCCTCTTTCTCTCCCTCCAGCTAGGGGTAAAATAGCAGGACAGACTGGGTTCTATAGCCTTGGATGGCAACTGGTCTAGGAGAAGGACAACTCTGAATTCAAAACCTGCTGAGGGTCGGTTTGGGAACCTTGTGGCATTCGGTGCACCAGGTCTCTGTATGCGTCCCTTCAAAAAGTGTGGATGGTCCTGCATGAAGCCTTCACCACTATAATCAAATCTCATGTGCCGGTGTCGGGCTGTCGGTTTCCTGGAAACTGGTCTGCTTGACCCTCATACGTCGAATCTCGACGGGAGAGTCGATTATTATTATTATATCCCTATTTACGCAATTGCAACCATAAGTGTACATCCTAATGTTGAAAAGTGTTTCAATTTTAAACAAGTTTGGTTAGACCAACAAAAGTACCCTGTTCAGAAAGTTCCAGTTTCTTGATTTCCGGTTAAAGTTTCCAGTTTCTTGATTTCCGGTTAAAGTTTCCAGTTTCTTGATTTCCGGTATTGGATTGTCCAATGTCTTACTACGCTCGGTTTTCATAAGCTATTATTAAAGAATTTGGTTGTTGTTGTTTTTGTTGTGCAATGTCGGTTTAAACATTTTCAAGATATCGCATCTTTACGCGTGATAACAATTTCTTAAAGTAACCAAATACACGAGGAAATCCAACAAATCTTTACTACTTAAGCAGGAATACTAAATCCATAAACTCTAAAAGCGACTGCAAATCCTAGAATATTTAACACTCACAGGATATGTTGAAGACAAAGGAAGTTGCGTGGGTGAAAAAACAGCGAGGAACTTGTTTCATGCTTCTTCTTCTTCTCCTCCTCCTCTTTCCACCACTCTTTCATTAGCCTCGTTTTCGTCTCCTTCTTCTATAGTCGTGTATTTCGCCTTCTTTTCATTCTTCGTCTTTTTCTTTTACTCTCCA